GGTGGTGGTGGTGGTCGCGGTGGTGGTGGTCGCGGTGGTGGTGGTCGCGGTCGTGGTGATCGCGGTCGTGGTGATCGCGGTCGCGGTCGCGGTCGCGGTCGCGGTCGCGGTCGCGGTGGTGGTGGTGGTGGTGGTAATGGGGGTCGTGGCGTCGTGGGGTGGTGGCGGTCGCGGTGGTGGTGGCGGTGGCGGCGGTGGCGGTGGCTGTTGTGGGCCTCAGGAAAAGGAAAGGGGGGGATGGTGGTCACTCCCCGGCACTCCCCCTACCTTCAAGCTGCTTCTCCAACAAAAGTGAGAACTCTCGCGTGGTGTCCCAGCTTGGGATTTGTTTGTGCTTTATGTGTGCGCTTGAGCTGAGATGGAGTGAGTGTGTCTGCGTTTCAAGTTTGCTGACTTCATAGCGCTCTTGGGGAGGAGCCCTCTGGTAGCTGGTTGCTGCAATTGGGAAGGAACATGACAGTCTGACAGTCCGCCGATATGCGCCCTAAAAGGAGCCAATCTGGGCATCATGCGACGGAGACACAGTTCGCACCAAGAACATCTTGTGCGGACAGTCCACGCCCACGCCAGAAAGCGCACGAGTTTGCCGCTCCCTTCCCACTGGCAGCCTGCACCGGGCACATCAGACCATGCCATTCATGAACGGCAAAAAAAGACCCTTCACAAAGCAGCATGCTGGACAAAATGGAGGGAGGGGTAGACTATATAGGCGCTGAGAACATGTCTGAGGGAGCGATGTGCGACAAAGCTGCTTGGAAGGCCGATATCGGCAGCTGAAGAGTTCAAAGTCCGAATGGTCCCTTCATCCCTCGGTTGAAAAATGCCCGCGAAGCATCCTCCTCTCGAAACCCCAGGGCTTGAAACACTGACTCCAACCTATCGTGCGAAATTTGTGTCTGCATAAGTGGGGACCTAATGTGCGTGACTTAAGCCGTCAGCCTATTAACTTCAAGCGTAGCTGAACAGCTCTTTATCAACATTCAATGCTGAGCCTTCAACCTCGTTCGAGGCAAACGGATGTGTCTACAAAGGGCACTGGAAGCAAGGCCGGTGCTTGTTTTGAGCCCTGAGCCCTGGGCGCCACATGCAACGTGACCCTTGGCTTCCGGTGTTTCAAATGTGGGCTTCTACCAGTCGATTCTTCCATGTCGGGACCATTGCTGCTTTCCAGAAACTCGGATTACGGCACTCGAAGTCTGAGTTTCTGTGTGGTGCCCTATTTCCGGTGGCGTTCAGAGATTGCACCCGCAAGCCCCAGAGACTTGATCTGTGAAATCCTGATGTCATGCTTGGTCGTATGATGCTGCTTAAGTCGTGATGACTGAGCCGACTGCTAAGCTGACCGCAAACTTGTACAGTACACGAAGGTCCTAGCTTCAGCAGTCTTCGGAAGCCTTGTAAAGCTTAGGCTACGTGAACTGAACAAAGCACAGCATTGCGGCTGACAGCTTGTGTTGGGAGCAATACACATACCCAAATTCGTTTCGCTGTGCCATGTCTGATGCCTAAATCCCTGAACTCCGCCTGTTGAAGACCTCGGCACTTGCTATGCAAGATCATGATCCTTTTCAAAGAGCCCTACTTTCCCACTGCTGAAACCTTAGTTTTGTTCTTCAGCCGTAACCAGCAGACCTTGAAGCCCGTAACCCCGTCACCGGGGAGGTCGCAAGCACGGCGAAGGCACCCTGATAGAACCTGCTGGGAAGAGCTACCGCGGCCAGTGGCATGATGGTAGAAGGCTGGCAGGGTTGAGGCTTGCGTCACGGGGGCAAAGTGGAAGCTTTAAAGCTCCGGCTTGGGGTACACTTCAGGATTAAGGATTCTAGATCGGTTCACATCGTTTCCGTCGAATTGGGGTATGGGATAGTGAAGCAGTTGCGATTTAGATGCCCAAAATCCTCAGTAGCAATTGATCAAACGATATTAACTTTTATTTGCTTCCTACAAGCACAGTAAACCCTGCAGGACGATACACGCTGCAGGCTCTACAAACGCTGTCATCCTTAAACCACTCGATCTTAGTCCTGATGAATACTCTCTGGCCTCGTGGCCGAGACATTCACCTCCCCGTCCAAGCCTCACCACTCGAGTGATGGCTTGGTCGCCCCAAGTTTTGGGGGCTGTTGCCACTGCGGCAGAAAGGCACGGTTTCCGGGCAATGACCCTTCATGCGCAGTTTGAGGTATCAAGTGTCAAAAGCGCTGATCGCACTATTCCTCAACCCAAGGCCTTCAATCCCAACCACCCAGCTTTCGATCACCCTACACTCTCACCAAAAGAATTCTGTCTTCACAGCTGAGCGGGGATGGGTACATGTACAACATGACATCCAGCTGCCTCAGCGGGTTTGGGCCACGCTTGGAAACTTCAGCTTGAAGCCTAAGCCAAGCCTAGATAAACTGTGAACCAAAGGCCCGTGATCCGAAACCTGCAATTTTCAACCTTGAATTTCTCGCCTTTCGAGGCATGGCTTTGGAGTTCTGCAGCTTGAGGGCCACTCTCGATACGAGGCACCCTTGAAGCTGGCATATTGGAAAATAGGGATCGTTGATGCACGTTGGGAGTTTTGAAAGATTGCTCAATTTTCGAGGACCTGCTAGAAAGATACTACTGCTCAACAGGGGTCTTGCGTGTGTATCATTTGAAGCAGACAGACAGACTGCGCTGTGGGGGTATGGCTTACAGCTCTTAAACCTCGGTATCGGGATTGCTGGCGCCTGATATGCGGCTCTGCCTCAAGGGTGTGATCCTCTACGGTTGAAGATTGGACAGCGATTTTGGAGATGACGAGTGGGCTATCATCTGAGGCATCGCACACACTTGTTGCCTCGTGGCAGGTTTCCCTATCTGAGCTTACTAGTGTATCCAGGATAGCCCCCACAGAAGTTATACATCTCGGACATCCTCAAGCAGGATCCTGCCTACGTTCAGTCGCCATGCGGCCTGCGTGGCAGTCTGCCTATTGCCGTCGCAAGCTAGAGACTAAGAATCCAAAAGGATTGGCCTACTCCGAAAGGGTCAGCCACAAGAGTGCTGGCTGCTGGAAGCGAATCTTGCACCCCACAGCTCAAATCCGGCAACCACCGAGCTCACCCCCATAGCTTGGATGCTGCTAGCTTGGATACTGTCGCTTCAAAACCCCCCTGCGCCTGGCAGGGTCGATGGGAGAATGGCATGCAGCATGGCAGCGGCAAGTACACGGACCTCAGAAATGAGACTGCTGCATAGCGGCATTAACCACTTCCTCTGATAGCCTGGTCGCAAGGAATAGGCGTCAAATAAATGATATGCATTACGAAAAATGCAAGACGTCAAAACAAGTTGCCAGACGTCGAAAGGAGAATTGCCTTGTGACTGGCCTAGCGGGTGTGAGTGCGGATCTTGAGGAACGTGCATTCCTGAGTGGCTTTGTTGTCCCCCGTCCTGTGGTAATATTGTTAATAGTATCAAGATGACGAATACCATAATATGACCAAACATCTAGTAGTACTACTACTGTGATTATATTCACGAGTATTACTACTAAATGTTATGACTACGACTCAATATTATGATCACCGTCGTTTGTGTGGCTTTATAGCTACTACTAGCATTGCTACGTGTCATTATTACCATTACTAGCATTGATATCATTATTGTTGCTGTTATTGCTTGTAGTATGATGAGTAGCATTCTTAGAATGATTTTTTCTATTTCTAATGTCATTATTAGGCATCTGATGTTATTCACTATACAATGACTAGCATAAATTTCACGAGTAGTATTTCTATGACTATTATTATTTGAAGCTTTTTTCTTAGACAAGTCCCTGGGGTTTCCCGGAGACCATTGAGAAGTATCACAGAAGAAGTTGCTGCAAGAGCTCGAAAGTAC